CATTATTAGAAGTCAATCCACAATGCTAGGGATGCTTCTTCACAACAATATCTATGATTCCATGAGTGTGCATTTTCATGATGGATCATTATATTACATTTGATTCTAAGATGATTGTACATGTTATCATTTTATTTTTTCTATTCTTCATAAATCAAATGTACTTACTTATTTTCAATAAATTTGCAAAATTATATTTTGAGATACAAGCTATAAGGTTCTTACATTACAAACTAGTAATGTAGGTGAATTTTGTAGCAAATGTTTTAGTAATTATCTACATATAGAAGGAATCAAATATGAATTGATTGTATCATATATTCCAAAACAAAATGTTGTCTTAGAGAAAGATAATCAAATTATTATAGAAGTTGTTAGAAGTTTGATCTACTATACTCACTTAGATCCTATGTTTTGGATAGAGGCTTTAAATAATATTGGTTATACTTTAAATCAAATATGTTCTTGTCTTCTTCCAAATGCTATTATTTTCAAAGCTTTTATTGATAAAAGTAACCATGTCTTGCCCATATGCAATCATTTTGTTGCAAAGTTAATTCTCATATTTTTAATAAGCTTTGTAAGAAACTCAATCCAAAGAGCAAAACTAGATTATTTCTTAGATATTCCAATGAGACTAAGGGCTAGTGCATTTGGAACTTATATCATAAACAAATTATCATCAGTAGAGATGTATTGTTTGATGAGCATAATTATGCTCAAGAAACACCATCTATTGCTTTTTAGTCTTCCAACACTACATCTATGGAAGTTCATTTTCTAAAATTTCAATACCCTCTTTTAGTGGAGATAAATCATAATTATTGTACCTCAAGTTTTAATTTTCTTATCTCCTCAAATTCAATTTAGATTCCTTATTTAACATCAAGTAATATAGTTAGTACTTCAAATACTTCCAATATGACAAGTAGTGAGAGTACTTCTACTCTAGGTAATGACAATGTTGATTTCATTGATAATTACTTTAATGAAGTTTATATTCAATCTTTAAAAACAACTCGCATTGTACTTTTGCAAATTCTATTATGACTCTACCATTTGCTTTAGCTTTAAAGTCTCTAGTATCTTCATTTGGATTTCTACATGAGGTTCTTCAATTATATCACAAGACACTTCATTTCTTTTATTCTTTACAATCAAAAAAAGTAATGCAAGCATAGTATGAATCTTTATTTGACAATAAAACATGGAAGTTTATAGACTTACTCTTGTGGTACAAATCCATTAATTGTAAATGGATCTATGCTCTCAAAACTAAAACTAATGATACTATTGATTGTTTTAAAGAAAGATTAGTGGCTAAAGGTTATTCATAGAAAATTGGTGTTGATTTTATTAAGACTTATTCTCCTATTGTGAAGTATAATTCAATCCAATTGGTTCTTTCAATTGTTGCATGGAAGGATATGCATATTTGACAATTCAATATTAAGACTACTTTTTTACATGGTCAACTTGAACATTAGACATATATGAAGCAAGTCCCTAGATTTGAAGATCCTTAAATTTTTCATAAGGTCTATTGCCAGAAAAAGACATTGTATGGTTTACAGCAAGCAAAGCTATACATAGAATAAATGCATAACCTAATTTTTAGTAACCTATAAGCTTAAACAAAGTATTGTTGATGCTTGTATCTATTGTTCCGATACAAATAATCAACTCATTCTCATAATGTTTGTTGATGATGATTTGTATTGTTGCCAAGATGCTTGCCGCATTCTCTATGTTCTTATGATAATAAACAACATTGTTGAAACAAAGATCAATGATCCAGATACTTAAGTGAGGTTGCAAATTGAATGTGATTGTTTTGCTACACTCATTTTTATACATCAATGTGCTTATTTGGAGAGAATTCTTTGTGAATATGGATTTTCTAAATCTTCATCCATTTCAACTCCAATTTCTTCTAATTCTTTTCTTTGTGGCATCAATTCTATCAATACAAAATTTAATAATAAATTTCCTTTTGTCAATGCTATTGGTAGTCTCTAATTTGCCTCAATAGATAATTGCTGTGATATTATCTACTCACTAAATAATATTACTCATTTTAAATCAAGATTTACTCAAACTTATTATAATGCTATTAAAAAGATATTTTGGTATATTTAGATAACTTTGGATTCCAACCTTGTATATGGTGGAACAAATTCTTTGACTCAATTCACTAGGTTTGTTGATGCAAATTAAGCGGCCAATTTGGACAATCAACAATCACATATTTGATACGTTTTATTTTTAAATGATGGGTCTATTAGTTGGGGCTCAAAGAAACAATATTGTTTAGTCAATATTACTACATATTCCAATTATATCATCTTCTTTATGGCTACAAAAGAAATAATTTTGTATCGACAAATGCTAGCAGATCTTGGATTTCTTGAAGAGAAAGCTACCATTGTTTACTCTAATTCTCAAAGTGCAATTCAATTGATAGTTAAACCCAAGTTTCATTCAAGAACCAAGCATGTTGATATTGAATATCACATGTTTCCAAGAAAAAATTAAGAATGGTGTTTTACATATTGATTATATTTCTATGAATGCCAACATAGCAAACATTTTTACAAAAGCCTTGAATCTTGAAAAATTCAAGAAATTACATGCTTTTCTTACTATATATTCTTGCTAATACTTTACTTCTCCATTGTAGTGAGAGTATTACTACATGTTGTAATATCAATAGAGAAGTTATTCTTTAATGAAAATTCAGTAACTAGTGTGTTATTTTTAAGAAGGAATAACTTCTCCCCCAGTACATTACTATTTTTCTTGTTGTAATGAAGTGGCATGAATTATACCCGATGTAATGGTGTTAAGTGCCGTGAGCCAACTTAATTGCCACTGGGCTAGCTTTCTTGCTAGCTGCTCTAACTACTACCCTCAAGTCTACTGATCTTCACCTTTGCATTCCCTCGCAATATTCACAAATACACTCAGAAAAATTAGAGTACACAGTTGGAAACCAACTAAAAGACACGGGTACGGTGATGACACAAAATGAGATGAGTGTGAGAAGGAGTAGAAAGTATTTACTCACGTCTGCTCAAGCCTACGTATTGTCAATATAGGGTCTGTCAAGATTCGTCCTTTCATCAATTAAAGAAAGACGTTCAGGGTTTCATTCGTTGCTCAGCAAATGCATTACACTGGTTTCAAATTTACCTTGACAGGATTGTATTAAGTCATGTTGAATACTTAAATTTTCCGACTAGTGTGCCAAATTTATAACACCGTTCCAATTCGAACAGTCCCATAGACCCCCCGTGGCCGAGCTCGCCAATTCTCACGCCAGTCGCTCATGCATATTGTCGACGAGGTTTCAAAACAGTGGAGGATTGTTCAAGTCCAATGTGGCGCCGGTGCAACCCAGCATAGCAGCATCTGTACAAAAAATATCATTTCATATGCGGGCACTCTTGACCCCAATCAATACTACGATGCCGTCTCAGAGTAGTTGTCCCTAATCCAACAACCCTCCTATCTACGATACCTATCGACTACAATGTCCACAATGTGTCGCTCCTCATCTCGCCAACGACCCGGTTGGCAATCCGGATGGACTAGCTTACGCGGCGGGCTTGAACTTGGTCTGCAAGTCCATCACATCCATGTCCTTGAGCTGGAACGCCCTGGCCAGTACCGAGGTGTCGATTGACGGCTGTGCTGCGAACACGGCGGTGGAGAACTGTACGCCGGGGTTCTGCCCGTTCAACACCGAGATCGTCACGGCGTGACCGCTGCCCACATTCAGCTGGAAGTGCACCAATCCCTTGGGGAACACGAAGAAGTCGCCCCTCTTCAGGCTCGTTGCGAAGAGCTTCCCGGCGGTGTCGACGAATCCGACGTGCACCTCTCCCTTCACCACGTAGATCACCTCCGCGGCCCTGGGGTGGGTGTGAGGGGGCACGAGCCCACCCTTGGCGTAGTTGAACTTGGCCAACGCGAATCCAAGGGTGTTCAACCCGGGGTAGTTGATGCCCGCGAACCCTGGTGCAAGCGCGATGCCGAGGGGGTTGTTGGTGTCTCCGTCCTTGCGGAAGCCCCTGAACGCGAAGTCCTCCGACATGGCAGACGAGGCAGGCTTGCAGGCCAGGCCGTTGATGGTGATCTTGCTAGCCAAATCCGCCACACAATAGTCGTTGATGGGGTCGGCATCACTAGCAGATGCCAAAGCAACCAGAGAAGCCACAACGACGAAGATAACGAGGACCTTGGCCATCTTGTCCAGATTGACTACAGTCACCGCGCAGAGGTAAACGCTCCGACGAGAGTGAATAGCGTTGTAAGTACCTTCACCTCTGCAATCGGGGATGTCGTGAAGTTCCTATATACTCCGTCGAAATGCTTGCCAGATCAGACATTCGTTAAGAAGTTATTACAGAAGCCGCTGAGTGTTGCCTTTCCAGTCTTTCTGCGGACCCACACCGATTTGCGGAAGTCGATCACCAATCAATAGTTCTGCCACTTAGTCTCCAATAGGACGCCGCTAATACCGCTGTGTCCCAAATTAAGATCCTCGCGCATCACACCACCCACCCATCGAGATGAAAATGTCGGTACGAGGCATTTCTACTTCACCCGAATCACCCCGCACAAGTGAGGCACCCGTGGATACTCGATATGCCATTCATTGTTGCACTGCTTTGCACACTCACTAGTTATTGACCAGGAAGTGCGAGGTACCAATATTAGTCTTGAGAGGATGTGCGTGAATGTTTGCGGCTGGTTATTGCTGCGGCTCAAAGTTGACGTGTGTGACATGGTATCTAGCAGGTTTGAGTCACGTAGGGTTGTGCTTCCTAAATCGTTGCGTGTGATTCATCGCCACACATGTCATGAATGGATATGGGTTCGGCCGTACTTGGAATAATATACTCGCCGATACCATTTATCCCTATACACTCCTTGCACCGTGTATCCCCCACAGTTGAATTCGCAAGTTCACACCAGTAGCTCATGAGGAATGCCTCTGAAGATTCGAAACTGTGGAGTTTTATTCAAGTCCAGTGTACCGCCGGTGCAACCCAGCATAGCAGCATCTGTACAAAAAAAATCATTTCATATGCGGGCACTCTTGACCCCAATCAATACTACGATGCCGTCTCAGAGTAGTTGTCCCTAATCCAACAACCCTCCTATCTACGATACCTATCGACTACAATGTCCACAATGTGTCGCTCCTCATCTCGCCAACGACCCGGTTGGCAATCCGGATGGACTAGCTTACGCGGCGGGCTTGAACTTGGTCTGCAAGTCCATCACATCCATGTCCTTGAGCTGGAACGCCCTGGCCAGTACCGAGGTGTCGATTGACGGCTGTGCTGCGAACACGGCGGTGGAGAACTGTACGCCGGGGTTCTGCCCGTTCAACACCGAGATCGTCACGGCGTGACCGCTGCCCACATTCAGCTGGAAGTGCACCAATCCCTTGGGGAACACGAAGAAGTCGCCCCTCTTCAGGCTCGTTGCGAAGAGCTTCCCGGCGGTGTCGACGAATCCGACGTGCACCTCTCCCTTCACCACGTAGATCACCTCCGCGGCCCTGGGGTGGGTGTGAGGGGGCACGAGCCCACCCTTGGCGTAGTTGAACTTGGCCAACGCGAATCCAAGGGTGTTCAACCCGGGGTAGTTGATGCCCGCGAACCCTGGTGCAAGCGCGATGCCGAGGGGGTTGTTGGTGTCTCCGTCCTTGCGGAAGCCCCTGAACGCGAAGTCCTCCGACATGGCAGACGAGGCAGCCTTGCAGGCCAGGCCGTTGATGGTGACCTTGCTAGCCAAATCGGCCACACAATAGTCGTTGATGGGGTCGGCATCACTAGCAGATGCCAAAGCAACCAGAGATGCGACGACGACGAGGATAGCGAAGAGCTTGGCCATTTTGAGTGATAATCCCAAACTACTAAATGGTTGGGTGAGAGAAAACCACTGCAGATGTCTGGTCCCCTACACTCTTACTGTCGTGAAGTTCCTATATACTCCGTCGGAATGCTTGCCACATCATACATTTGTTGAGAAGCGGTCACAGAAGCCGCTGGGTGTTGCCTTTCCAGTCTGACGGTGGACCCACACCGAGACGTGGAACTCGATCACCAATCAATAGTTCTGTCACTTACCCTCGAAGAGGTTTCGCGTAAATACCGCTGTGACCCACAATTCAGCTCCCCGCGCATCTCACTACGGACCGGTCGAGATTGGAATGTCGGCACGAAGCACTTCTACTTCATCCTGAACACACTGCACAACCCTGCAACAGTCGATGAGAAGTCCTAAAGCCCATTTACAGGTCCTCATTCTACGGTACTGCGACGCGGCAGCAGGTCCACCAATCAAGGCAGCTGTTAGGCCTTCTTACCCTGAACGGATTTTTCGCTGCGGTTGTCAATGCCAGGTATTTATGATCTTCGCATTTTTAAAGGTAAAATGGTCGGCACCAGAGGGGTAGAAATGTCTGGATCACTCCCCGCGGAGTTCATTTAGTAACTAGTGTGTTACTTGTAAGCTAGGAAAACTTCTCTCCTGTATATTACTGTTTTTCTGGTAATAAAGTGGTATGGATTATACCCGATGTAATGGTGTAAAGTAGGTTATGGGCTCGAAGCTTCAAAACTGGGCATGATTGAGAGTTCTGCTGGTTGCTTAACCTAGCTTGCATTGATAGAGTGAATTGAATAGAGAGCGTTTTGAATTTGCCACACAAGTTTACTGCCTACTTCAGTCCTCGTGGTCATTTGCTTGATTTTCTTGATTTTTTTCTTAGGGACTGCACTTCTTCTTACCTTTCTATTTTTTCTGTTGACTTGATGTTTTTCATCTTGGTTACCATGTCTATTGAAAAAAGATTTAATAGGCATTCAGCGTTTCAATAGTACTGAGTTTCATTGCATGAAAATGTCAAATTAGAAATTTGTTTTGTGACAAAGGATACATTCAACATTTTGATGGCACTGTTGAATATGATTCAGATGATGAAGGCTGGAAAAATTGTGATTACAACGTATATACATTACTTACTTCTTTAATTGAAAGAAATGTTTAGGCTCTATTAACTAGTTGCACATGAGGTTTGAGCTCATCTTTTAAAAAAATATGAGCACAAGAATAGCAAAAATATTCATGAGTTATAGTGCCAATTTTTTGATGCTAAGTTAGAAAACAATCAATTTATATCTAACTTTATTGCTCAACTTGAACTCAGCATGAGTAAGCTCCAAGAATTTGATAATTCACATTCTTTGGATGCCTTCAAGATGTCTAAGTTTAGAGCTAACTTACTTGCTAGTTTTGATGGTTTTACCACTGCCTAAAAGAGCACTTCTAAAGAAGATCGTATCTTAGCTAATCTTAAGCTTTTCCTATGTGAGGAGGAGAAGAAGATTTTATGGCGCATACAACAAGAAGTTGCTTTGGATAGCAAAGCTTTTTATACCAGTCATGGACATCTTTCTATTAGTATAAGCTATAGAGGCCAATCTACTTGTAGGAGTCTTCATGCACGCAGATTCTTTATTGATATACTTCCATATGGTTATATAAATCCATTGTACCTTCATTTTGATGAGCATTGTACTTTGCAATTTCCTACTCTTCTATTCTATAGACTCTTTTCTAAACCTCTATTGCCATTAGCAAAACAAACTTTGTTTCCACCAACTCATTTATAAACTCATAGGAATGCCAAGATTGCAAAAATGAAGTGTAGAACAAGATGTAATAATTGTGGTCGACTTGATCATTGGTGGTAAGAATGTCTGCACATATTTTAAGAGCTTGTCTATAGGCCACTCATTTTGTATTTTGGACCTTATATTCAAGCATCTTTTGTTGAGTTATTGGATTCCAATCATTCTTTTTTATCTCCAAAGGTTGTATATCCAGATGTGGAGTATTATTCTTCATTTACTTCTTACAATTATGATGATGTACATTCAAACTAGTTCACTTTTAATAAACAAGATATAAAAAAAAAAAAAAAAAAAAAAAAAATCAGATTTCTCTCTCAATATTATCCATATTTATATAGCATTAGCATCAAGGAGAATCAAAGATGACTAGATTACTAATAGGAGAGCCATTCATCACATTATTGATAAACTCCAATGGTTTATTAGCTACAAACCATTACCACCTAATGCTATTTGGCTTGTCAAAATCTCTGTTGGTTACAAGTGCTACATAACCAATACAAGTAACAACAAAATTTTGGTTTAGCTTCTTAATCAAATAGAAGCTCATCTTTTTCAGCAAGTTCTCTATATCCTTGGATTTGGCCAAAATCTCTTGTCTCATTAAAGTTGCGAGACAACATAAATTTTTTATTATGTACAAAGATCATACTTGTGAACTTCATTAAGGCAATAGCCTTATCATGGCTAGCTGTATGCTTTAAATATCTTACATTTTAAATTTCATTGTCTTGCTTCCTCCAAGAGATGTTTCTTATATAGCATCTTATAAAAACATTGCTTCTTTAATAGAATTATAGGATATTGAAACTTGACACCTTTGCCTTGATCACTTATACTATGATATGATTAAAAAGATGGCTACCAATGGTTCAATCATTAAGATATAACTCAAGACTACTAAATCTCCAAAAATATATTTAAATTGCACCTTTGAAAAATCTTGCAGGCCAATGTTTTCTAAGAACATTATTAGAAGTCAATCCACAATGCTAAGGATGCTTCTTCACAACAATATCTATGATTCCATGAGTGTGCATTTTCATGATGGATCATTATATTACATTTGATTCTAAGATGATTGTACATGTTATCATTTTATTTTTTCTATTCTTCATAAATCAAATGTACTTACTTATTTTCAATAAATTTGCAAAATTATATTTTGAGATACAAGCTATAAGGTTCTTACATTACAAACTAGTAATGTAGGTGAATTTTGTAGCAAATGTTTTAGTAATTATCTACATATAGAAGGAATCAAATATGAATTGATTGTATCATATATTCCAAAACAAAATGTTGTCTTAGAGAAAGATAATCAAATTATTATAGAAGTTGTTAGAAGTTTGATCTACTATACTCACTTAGATCCTATGTTTTGGATAGAGGCTTTAAATAATATTGGTTATACTTTAAATCAAATATGTTCTTGTCTTCTTCCAAATGCTATTATTTTCAAAGCTTTTATTGATAAAAGTAACCATGTCTTGCCCATATGCAATCATTTTGTTGCAAAGTTAATTCTCATATTTTTAATAAGCTTTGTAAGAAACTCAATCCAAAGAGCAAAACTAGATTATTTCTTAGATATTCCAATGAGACTAAGGGCTAGTGCATTTGGAACTTATATCATAAACAAATTATCATCAGTAGAGATGTATTGTTTGATGAGCATAATTATGCTCAAGAAACACCATCTATTGCTTTTTAGTCTTCCAACACTACATCTATGGAAGTTCATTTTCTAAAATTTCAATACCCTCTTTTAGTGGAGATAAATCATAATTATTGTACCTCAAGTTTTAATTTTCTTATCTCCTCAAATTCAATTTAGATTCCTTATTTAACATCAAGTAATATAGTTAGTACTTCAAATACTTCCAATATGACAAGTAGTGAGAGTACTTCTACTCTAGGTAATGACAATGTTGATTTCATTGATAATTACTTTAATGAAGTTTATATTCAATCTTTAAAAACAACTCGCATTGTACTTTTGCAAATTCTATTATGACTCTACCATTTGCTTTAGCTTTAAAGTCTCTAGTATCTTCATTTGGATTTCTACATGAGGTTCCTCAATTATATCACAAGACACTTCATTTCTTTTATTCTTTACAATCAAAAAAAGTAATGCAAGCATAGTATGAATCTTTATTTGACAATAAAACATGGAAGTTTATAGACTTACTCTTGTGGTACAAATCCATTAATTGTAAATGGATCTATGCTCTCAAAACTAAAACTAATGATACTATTGATTGTTTTAAAGAAAGATTAGTGGCTAAAGGTTATTCATAGAAAATTGGTGTTGATTTTATTAAGACTTATTCTCCTATTGTGAAGTATAATTCAATCCAATTGGTTCTTTCAATTGTTGCATGGAAGGATATGCATATTTGACAATTCAATATTAAGACTACTTTTTTACATGGTCAACTTGAACATTAGACATATATGAAGCAAGTCCCTAGATTTGAAGATCCTTAAATTTTTCATAAGGTCTATTGCCAGAAAAAGACATTGTATGGTTTACAGCAAGCAAAGCTATACATAGAATAAATGCATAACCTAATTTTTAGTAACCTATAAGCTTAAACAAAGTATTGTTGATGCTTGTATCTATTGTTCCGATACAAATAATCAACTCATTCTCATAATGTTTGTTGATGATGATTTGTATTGTTGCCAAGATGCTTGCCGCATTCTCTATGTTCTTATGATAATAAACAACATTGTTGAAACAAAGATCAATGATCCAGATACTTAAGTGAGGTTGCAAATTGAATGTGATTGTTTTGCTACACTCATTTTTATACATCAATGTGCTTATTTGGAGAGAATTCTTTGTGAATATGGATTTTCTAAATCTTCATCCATTTCAACTCCAATTTCTTCTAATTCTTTTCTTTGTGGCATCAATTCTATCAATACAAAATTTAATAATAAATTTCCTTTTGTCAATGCTATTGGTAGTCTCTAATTTGCCTCAATAGATAATTGCTGTGATATTATCTACTCACTAAATAATATTACTCATTTTAAATCAAGATTTACTCAAACTTATTATAATGCTATTAAAAAGATATTTTGGTATATTTAGATAACTTTGGATTCCAACCTTGTATATGGTGGAACAAATTCTTTGACTCAATTCACTAGGTTTGTTGATGCAAATTAAGCGGCCAATTTGGACAATCAACAATCACATATTTGATACGTTTTATTTTTAAATGACGGATCTATTAGTTGGGGCTCAAAGAAACAATATTGTTTAGTCAATATT